CATGTTTATCGCAGCACTATTTACAATAGCAAAAAGGTGGAAACAATCTAGGTGCCCATCAATAGAAGAATAGATAAGCAAACTATGGTACATACAGACAACGGAATACCATGCAACACTAAAGAATAAGGTAGAATCTGCAAAACACTGCATAATGTGGTTGAACTTGGAGGACACTATGCTAAGTTAAGTAAGTCAATCACAGAAGGACAAATATTGTATTAGGTCATTATTATAAAAAGTCAAGGAAAGGTTTATATATGGAAGAAAACTTTGTTGGTTACCAGGGGTGAGAGGGGAAGGGAGAGAACACTGCAAATAAGTAAATAAATAGAATGACTATACTGGCTAGAATCCCCAGACCTTCAAGATCTTGTCCCTAACCTCAAACTAGACTTTCCCATTGCCAACTATGCCTAACTAGATTTCTATCTATTGCTGACTCTCCCATTCTCCTGACACTCCACATGCCTCCCCTTCCTAATACCTTCCATGAGGACTTTTCTGTATATCTGTCTAGCAGAGCTTACTAACCTTCAGCTCCATGACCTAATTGAGCCTTCATTCTTATAGGCTGCAACCAGAAAGCAAAGTGCAGTTGTCAATTTTCATTTGAGAATGCCAGAGATAATAGGTGAGAGGAGTCAGTCAGCATGGTACCAAGAATCAAACTTTCAGTCTGGAATAGAGTAAGTGGAAATGCTTCAGATGCTCTGCTATACTTGGTGGCAAATTTTGATTGTTATAGATTGAGTTGTGTTCTCCAAAAACATATGTTGTAGTCCCAACCACTGGTAGCTATGAGTGTGATATTGTTTAGAAATAGGTTCTTTGAAGATATTATCCATTACCATGAGGTCATGTTAGAGGAGGGTGAGTCCTACTCCAATATAACTGATGTCCTTATAAAAAGAGATTAGGAGACGCAAAGGGAAAATAGCCATGTGAAGACAGAGGCAGAGATTGCAGCTACAGGTCGTGCAATGCCTGGGACCATCAGAATCTGGGAGAGACAAGAAAGGCTCTACCCCTCAGAGCTTCAGAGAGAAAAGAGCCCTGATGACACCCTGAATTCAGAGTTCCGGCCTCCGCAACTTTTGCTGTTAGGGAAATAAAATGCCTATCTCCTCTTCCAGACCTCATCCATCTTCTGTTATCATTCAAGTCACATAATGGTACGGTCATTACTCTGCAAGTTTTTCCTTAAATATTCTTCAAAAATAACAACTCTAAATTAATGAGATGGATTGACACAATAGCCATCGTGATGGACTCGCACACAGCAACAATCATGAAGATGGCATAGGACCAGACACCATTTCTTTCTGTTATACAGAAGGCCATCAAGAGTAGGAACCAATTGGACAGCAACTAACACCAACAACATAAAGAGGGTGAAAGAGAAGCTATAAATAGGGAGGAAGTATTTGCCACACATTTAACCAACAAAGGTTTCAGAATACATAATGCATTCCTATAATCGGTAAGAAAAAAAACTAACAACCCAATTAGAAAAAAATGGGCAAAAGAGATAAACAGGCAATTCACTAAAGAGGAAACAATAATAGCAATACCCTTGTGAAAAAATACTCATTCTCATAAGTAAACTGAGAAGTGCAAATTAAATCCACAAGGAGCTGCCACACCCATGAGACTGGTGCAATTTTTGCAAGAATATATAACAATGCAACAGTGGAAACTGCCTTCACTGCTGGTGGGAATTTAAACTGGTACAATACTTTCAAATACAATTTAAAGTAAAGTGTATCTTGTGATCTAGGACCTAAGGCTACTCCTGGTGTCTTTTGTTGCCCTCCAGTGATTCCCATACATGGTGACTTTATGAGTACACAGTAGAACTGTTCCATAGATTTTCAAGGCTGTGACTTTTCAGAAGCAGACTGCCAGGAATGTCTTGCAAGGCACCTATGTGTGGGTTTGAAATGCCAACCGTTCGGCTAGTAGTCCAGTGGTTAACCCTTTGTGTCTCTCAGGAACTTCGTACTCTACTCTCAGGTATATATTATAAAAAGAGGACATGGCCAATGGACATGTATGGAACATTCAGAGCAGCCTGGTTCATGTAGAAAAGGTATTTAATGTGCAAGTTGTTCCTTTTGCTGATTGCTGAGGGGCATAAACAGCATTAAGCCAGTGTTGTAGGCTTCTCTGAAATGAGTCACACCGGCTGCTGACACTCTGGGAGACACAAGGAAGGAAATGGGAAATCAGATTCATGTCCACACACCTACATTCTTATTTCATTTACATCGTATGCACTATTTTTTTTTCTATTATGGGAATAAATAAAACTAAAAGCAATCCTGAATCAAAACCATTCTCACCATCCTTGAGCTTGGACCAGACCTGACCTTGCTCACATGCCTATATATAAAGCACCTGAAAATGGTAGCCAGTTTTTCACTTGATCTGTCAGACTAGGAGACCATCACAGGGTTTTACTCCTGCCTCTGTTTGTATTTCTGACAGATAACTATCCTAGTCTGCTTTGTAATACAGCCATTTGAGTATGGGGCAAGAGTCCTTTATCAAATTGTCATTTCTTTTAGGAAAGGTCTTACTCCCATTACATGTGGGTGGCATGCTGTGCCTGTAGTGGGTTACACAGTACATACTGATACATTAAATCACTTGACTTAGTAAGAAGTATCTTGACAGAAGAGAATGGTCAGTGGCTCCCTCACATACTGATATCCTTAGGTAAATTGTATAACCTCTCTCAAAGCCAAAACAAAACAAAACAAACTCACTGCTGTCGAGTCAATTCAATTCATAGCCACCCCTCCTTGGGTTTCTGAGGCAGTATCTCCACAGAAGCAGGTTACCCAGTCTTTCTTCTCAGGAGTGGCTGGTGGGTTCGAACCTCCAGGCTTCTGGTTAGCAGTCAAATGCCTTAAGACACTATGCCACCAGAGAACTGTTATACTTTTATGTCCCACAAATGTCATGAATATTAAATACCAAGGGAAAGTGCCTGAGGTAAAGATGCCCCTTAGGAAATGTTGTTTCTTTTATGCTTCATATTTTTTGTGTTCTAAGATAATGGAGATCCTGGGTGAGGCAAACTGTTAACACACTGGGCTGTGAAGGTTGGAGGTCGAGGCCACCCAGAGATGGCTTGGAAGAAAGGCGGGCCTGGTGATCTACTTCCAAAAATCCAGCCATTGAAAACCCTATGAAGCACAGTTCTACTCTGACACATATGGAATCACCATGAGTTAGAATCCACTTGACTGTCACCTGATACTAATCCTACCCTTTACTCAGCATTCCTTCTCTTTGAAAGGAGGGCAGATAAAACCATTTTCCCTCTTTCTGTAAAAAGAAATTAGAACTGTCAGTTGACGTGCTACATATTACCAAGTTGGAAGTAGAGAGAAGGAGAGGGTGGTGGAAGTACAGATCACAATGAGTATCAGAGTGCACCTGGCTGAAAGTGACAGCAGCAGACCTGGGCAGAAAAAGGAGTTACCTTAGGCTTGGAATCCATAGGACATCCATAAACCCTTCTTCTATTAGAAAAGCATGTGTGGTCAAGCAGTCCTTCCTTTCTGATGCTTCCTAACAAACAACCGTATTTCTCTAAATCATCTCAGACCTTGCAGGAAGTTAGGGCATAGTCAACAATATCAACATCACCACTGAAGCAATACTGACTTAATATGCACCAGGCATCGTACTAGGTAACTGGGTGAACAAAACGGAGGCGCTTCAAAAGAGGAACTACTGGACCTTTGGAAGAGGAGGCACACCGAACAGTCTGGCGGGATAGAGAAGGCTTCTGGAGGGTGAATATGTGGAGGCGTCCCCGGAAGATGGCAGAAACAAGAGAACGTGGCTACTACCAAGTTTAAAAACTCGGATCCCCACACAGTTCGGACAGCCTGGTTCGCCATCCCCTCTGAATCCTACTCAAAGCCTTCCAAAGAACGGGATGGACATGCATTGTTTTAATTGTATTCTCCTCTATCCCCTAGGAGGGCAAGAACTCAAAAGCTTGGTAGCTGAGTCAGAAACTCAGACCTGGGTATTGGTCTCTGTGGGTTGGCGCTGGGGGCGGGAAGCCGGTCCGAGGTGACGCGAGAGGGGCCGTGGGTGGTGCGGTGACGCGCGCGGGGACGACGACGACTCAGCCCACATGCCTGCGAGATTTAAAAGTTAGCGGCGCGCGGGGAGCTCAGTCGGACAGCTCAGACCAGGCCGCAGCGTGCCCGAGACTAAAGGCACTGCCAGGGGTCCTGAGCTCAGAGCCACCTGCAGGCGCGGAGATGCTGCGAACAGCGAACCACCGCCCCGGGCCGCCCCCTGCGCAAGTGGCCGTGGCATCCCCGTTTCTACTGCTGCTGCTGCTCACCTGCGGCGCCGGTGCCTGCCAAGGTAAGGCGGCTGGCGCCCCGCGCTTCTAGCGCCCAGGGCCGCTGTCCCACGCTGCGCCCTTCTCGCGCCTTTCCTGCTCCACTTCCCGTTTTCTCTTCCCTCACGTTCTCTCTTGGCTTCAGGGACTTGTGCAGCGAGGTTTCCGGGTTGCTCGCCCTTGGTTGCACAGCTTGGCAGCAGGCGCGGCTTCACAGACTTCCAGGGCTGCAGCCGAAATTCCCAGACGCCAAGACTTGGAACCGAGCACAGACCCAAGCGCGGGGCAGGGTGCAGTTGGCAACCTGCAGAACTCCCTCACACTTGGGATTTTCAGCCCCGTGGCCCATGGATAACGGAAACTAGAATAGGGAAAATTAAAATGTTTTTCCTTTGATTGCAATATTGGGGAGATTGATGATTGAAGCAAAACAGCTGTGCATTTGATATTTCACCTGCTGATGTAAAGTAAACCTGTAATGCATTCAACCTCTTTGAGCTCATGCCTGTTCAGATAATCCCGAGCAGTGAAATAAACCCCATCCTAGCTGTTTAGAAGGGGGAAGTAGTGGACTCTGTGCCTGATAGAAGGAGCTGTGGTGGTGTAGTGGTTAAGCAGTTAGATGCTAACCAAAAGATGAGTGGTTCAAACCCACCAGCTGCTCCACCAAAGAAGCAATCTGCTTCGGTAAAGATTTACAGCCTTGGAAACCCGATGGAGGGTTGCTATGAGTCAGAATCGACTCCATGGCAGTGAGTTTGGATGTTGGTTTTGGTGCCTGATAGATTTTCAGATACTAGATCTGGAAAAGAATAGAGAATTTTTTTCTCACATAGAGTTGGAGGGACAATGGGCAAGTGGGTCTTTCACTCAGTGCAACAGCTAAATGTAGTGAAGGTGATGTTGTTTGATAGCAATAGGGACCTCCTGAAATTGGTTTAGAGAAGGAAAGCAGGAAAAGCAAGGTCAAGTACAGGAGATCAGAAGCTTGGGAGCCTTGTCAGAGTTGAGTACAAGTGCCAGTGGAGAGGTCATTTCACTGGATTCTCTAAAGGGTAGGATGTTTTTCATGTAACTTGGGGGACTATCTCCATAGCCAAGCTCCAAACGCTTTCCCTACTAACAACACGAGTTTTCTAGCTTCACAGCAGTTTCTCTCAGCTTCCCTCTGCTGTCCTATCAGGGATAAAGGTGGATAGAGTGTTTCATTCATCATGATTCATATAGTTGAGGACTTCAAATCGTAACTACAGAGACCTTCAGATCATGTAACCTGGTTTTCAGTTGTGTTGTTTTTGTTAGTTGCTTTTGAGTGGCCTCTGATTCGTGGCGAGTTATGCAAAACAGAACACAACCATTTATTGCAGGTCCTGTGCCATCTTCATGATCATTGATATGTTTGAGTCCGTTATTACAGCCATTGTGTAGTGCCTTCCAACCTGTTGTTGTTGTTGTTGTTATGTGCTGTCAAGTCAGACCCAACTCATAGTGACCCCTCCTTGGGTTTCCGAGGCAGTATCACTACGGAAGTAGATTGCCCAAACTTCCTTCCAAAGAGTTGCTGGTGGGTTTGAACCGTCAGCCTTCTGGTTAGTAGTCAAGTGCCTTAGGCACTATGCTACCAGAGCTCCTGCCTTCCAACCTAAGGTCTCCATATTTACCATTTATGTAACAACTATTCTGTTGTTATACATAAGGTTTTCATTGGCTAATTTTTGGAAGCAGAATACCAGGCTCTTCTTCCCACTCTGTCTCAGGTGGCAAGCTCCCTTGAAACCTGACCATGATGAGTCACCCTGCTGATACCTGAAATACTGGTGGCATAGCTTCCAGCATCATAGCACTATAGAACCACCACTGGATGATCAACTGACAGATGGGTAGTGGGTCTGAACCCATTATTATTTTCCTAATCTATTTATTTTTTTCCCCTTCCACTGTTTTTATTTTCTCCTTTCTTTGAGACTCTAGTTGGGGGTGGAAGGGGGCTCCTTCTGCTTGAAAAGAAAGGTAATTTGGCTTTGAAGTTGAAGCAGTCGGAAGTTGGGAGACCAAAACCTTCCCCATAGCCAACAATGATAAATCGTGATTGATGCAAAGTAATGTTAATCCTTTTTGATTTATTTGTTATGGAAAAAATTAGAATGGTATCTTTATCTAGATTTTTTAGGAAGCAGTATTCATGGTTGTAAAAGTGGCTGTGTTATGTAAAGCTAATGTGCTTTCTGTGTGGCATGCCTTAGGTTGGCATGAAAAGGAGGTAACAACTGGTTTTTTTGGAGGAAGAGAGGGAGTTCAGAGGAGTTTCACTGGGAGTTACTGGTGTATGAATTATAAAAGTAATTATTAAAAATGAGCGAGTGAAATGGGAGCTGGCTCCTAAAAAAAGAAAGCTTCTTGGGTTTCATTTGCAAAAGTATCTTATCTGGTAGCTGACCAGTTGAGTCGTAACCATCACCAATATTTTTCAAGCAAAGGCATGAGATGCCTCCTTCATTACCTTTAAACCCCTAGACTGCCCTTCCACACCTTTTCTTCCCCTTCAGAACTGCTTTTAATACTTAAAAACTAATTTTATCTCTAAAAAAATGTGATAAGGCTTGGAGAGGGAGAATATACAATATGATCTGCCTTAGTTGTGTGTCCCTAAAGATGGCCCTGGAGGGAAAGCAGAACATAAGAAGAACTCAGAGATAATCTACCAAGAGGAACTGAGAGTATCTGAAAACAACAAACGTCACAACACCAGAGGAGGGAACAACAGTGCTAAGAAGCACAGCATCCTTAGCAAAAAATGAGTTAGCAAAGCATATAATAGCTAGGAGAAAATAAAGGGCCAGCCGCAGATTCTATGATGCAAACAGTTTATTATTCAGAGAAGATTATTGAAACAAAGCAAGAAATGCCCTATTAGATATTTAGATACCTGCCACAAACTGTCACTTGATTTTTCAGGTGACAATAAGAGATGAAGTGCCAAAGACTAAATTAAGAAATGCCTTTTCCTACACAGGCTCCTACTCATTGAAGAATTCTTAAAATTCAGTCAGTAGAAGCAATTTCTAAACTCTCAACCCTTCGCTAGTTAAATGCTAGCCATGAGTAAAGAAAATTGGCATCACTTTCAGAATGAAGTCTTTTTCTTTCTCTTACACATGGTGTATTTACAAACACACAAGGTGCCTGAATGTATCATTTATATTACTTAGTTATATACTAACCCAAGGGAGCTCTGGTAGCATAGTGGCTGCGACACTTGCCTGCTAACCAGACGGCTGGCGGTTCAAACCCACCAGCCACTCCTCGGAAGGAAGGTTGGGCAATCCTACTTCCGTAGGAAACCCAAGGAGGGGTCTCTATGAGTCGGGTTTGACTCGACAGCACATAACAACAACAACAACATACTAACCCAAACCATTGCTGTCCAACCAACTTATAGGGTGACTCATCGGGACCCTATAAGACAGAGTAGAACTGTTCTATAGGGTTTCCAATTATCAAACAGTGTTTCTTTGCTATTCATAAGGTTTTTCCTGGCCAATTCTTTGAGAATTTGCTAAAAGAACTAAAAGACCTGTCCTGGAGGAAATGCACCTGAAATGCTCCTTGGAAGCGAGAATGGCTTTGTTTCACCTATTTTGGTCATGTTGTCAGAAAGGACCATTCTCTGGAGAAGGATGTCATGCTTGGTAGGGTGGAGGGTCGACGAAACGGGGGGAGGCCTTCAACGAGATGGATTGACACGGTGGCTGCGATAATGGGCTCAGGTATAGCAGGGATCATGGAGCTGGCGTGGAATCAAGCGGTGTTTCGTTCTGCTGTGCATGGGGTCGCTATGTGTCGGAAATGACTCGTCGGCACCTAACAACAACAATAACATAGAGTTTCCAAGGCTGTGATCTTTATGGAAGCTGGCTTCACGGACGCTGCATCTTTCTTTGCAGAGCAGCTGGGTGGGTTCAAGCTGCCGACCTTATTAGCAGTCAAAAGCTTAACAACTGTACCACCTGGGCTCCTTTCTTGGTTTTACAGTACAGTATAAGACTAAAGATTTCACCCTACTAGGTAGTACTGAGGTATAAATATCTTGATGAAAGTGATCAAACAAAACTGCAGTTTTTAGGAAGTAGAATATCGTGACACTGTTTCTAACACTATTTAGGGAAGTAATCTAAGTAGTGCTTTTTTATAGACAATACCCCATGTTCAACGTCTCTTGGGAGGAAAATCACATCAACAAATAGACAAATGGGGAGGGGAGCTTCCTCCTTGCCGTGGTTTCCATCAGAGGATATTAGTGATTATCTATAAATCATAGAAAAATGTTTATTTCTCCTTCTCTAGCTGTTACCCTAGGGAGCTCTGGTGGCGTAGTGCCTAAGTCATTTGACTGCTAACCAGGAGTCTGGCAGTTCAAACCCACCAGTCACCCCTTGGAAGGAAGACTGGGCAATCTACTTCCGTAGAGATACCACCTCAGAAACCCAAGGAGGGATCGCTATGAGTAGGATTCGACTCGAGGGCAGTGAGTTTGGGTTTTTTTGTTTGTTTGTTTGAGCCTCTACCCTGAGACTGTCTTTATGTGTTTTGTGTAAGGGTCACAAACTACCCCTGTTTTATGTAACTGCATGGGATGAAGTTGGACATGACAGCAATCTAAGGGACCCATGCAAGTTTGGGGACATGGCACTCTGATATCCTGATCTTCCTAGTGCTTGGTACCACAGAACATGTAGTTAATTACTGTTATTGTAATCATGATTGTTAGAATCTAAATAAACTAATAGTAAGTTTTGTGAACTCAAAGGAAGACTTCACTGAACAGTAAGATAATTAAAAAAGAATCTGTCAAGTTGAAGTCAGCTAGACCTAGTTTGAAATCTATCTTTGCCACTTGTTTATGTCACCTTGGACAAATTAATCATTCTTTGCCTCAGTTTCCTCATATTAAAATGGGAATAATAATTATCTATCTTGAAAGGTTGGTGTGAAGGTTAAAGAACAATATGTGTATTAAATGCTTAGCATAATGCCTGGCATTAAGTAAATGCTCAATGTCAGTAGGTTCTATCTTGCTATCATTATAAACAGAAATGTTCTTGGAGTCCCTGGATGGTACAAATGGTTAGGCACTTAACTACTAGGCAAAAGGTTGGTGGTTCAAACCCACCCAAGGCACCTCAGAAGACAGGCCTGGGGATCTGATTCTGAAAACTCAGAGCCTTGAAAACCCTATGGAGCAGTTCCACTCTGCAAACATGGGGTCACCATGAGTCAGAATTACTTAATGGCAGCAAACAACAAAAACAGGTTAAATAAAATATTTCCTAAAGTTAAAGAAATTATTCTCTACTTTAAGCCTGCTTTTTAAAAGGGTTTAATTTTGCTACAATTGAAATTTTAGAAAAATTTACCATCTTTTATTGCATGATTTTATTATTGTTTTTAGTAAATAAAGAATATACATATAAGAAAATAAGTAGTAGTCCCATTCAAATATTAAAAAAAAAAAAAACCTCAAAACACTGAGATTATATTTATAATTTTTTGTTGTTGATTGCCATGGAGTTGATTCCAACTCATGACGAGCCACGTGTGCAGAGCAGAACTGCTCCACAGGCTTCTCAAGACTATGACCTTTCGGAAGCAGATTGCCAGGCCTATCTCCCAAGGTGCCTCAGGGTGGATTTGAACCACCAACCTTTCTGCCAGTAGATGATCACTTAACCTTTGGGCCAGTCAGGGACTCCACACTTATCATTCATATAGCATGAATTGTAAAATTAAACCTATGCTTGTTGTTGTTAATTGCCCATGATAAACCTACGCAGAAAATATTCTTTTAGGTGATGCGAGCAAATTAAAACTTTTATTTCGATCATAATGAAGGCCCTGACAAATATTGTTATTTTTCAAGAGCTTTACTGAGATATAAATACCATAAAATGTACCTGTTTTAAGTATAAAATACAGTGATTTTTAGTAAATTTACAAAATTGTAACACTGTCAGGACAACACTATTTGAGAATGTTTATTTCACCTCCAAAAGATCCATCATATCCACTTGTGGTCAATCTCTGTTCCTAGCCCTAGCCCCAGATTTGGTTTTCTGAGCATTTTATATGAATGAAATTGTATACTATTTCGTCTTTTGTGTCTGGCTTCTTTCACTTAGCATAGTGTTACTGAGTTACATCCATGTGGTGGCATATAATAGTAGTTCATTCATCTTTATGGCCAAGTATGATTCCATTGTATGGATATATTACATTTTGTTTATCCATTCACCAGTTGATGAACATGTGGATTGTTTCCATTTTGTGGCTATTATAAATAATACTGCCATGAATATTCATGTACAAATTTTTGTGTAGACATACAAGCAATTCATTCTTGAGAGTAATGTCATCATGATGGTATTAAGATTTCCTTAGTAATTATGTCTCTTTATGCTATGCTAAGTCAAGTCCCGAATTTTCAAGTCCAATTAATAGGGTAGTAATTAGAGCTCTGGTGGTGTGGTGCTAAAGGATTTCACTGCTGACCAGAAGGTTGGCAGTTCAAACCCACCAGCCACTCCTTGGAAGGAAGATTGGGCAATCTACTTCTGTAGAGATACCGCCTCGGAAACCCAAGGAGAGGTTGTTATGAGTTGGTAAAACTACTCGATGACAGTGAATTTGGTTTGGTTCTGGTTTAATGTACAGTGAAAAATGAGAAATAATATCTGAAAAGGAATTATAAAAGAACAAAGATCATAAAATTAACATGTGGGTATAATTTTATTTTTAGGTGCTCCAATATTACCTGAAGGATTATGGCCTGAACAAGAACTATGGCTATGGAATAAGGTAAAGAATTATTCTAACATAAATTAGTGGAAACTTCATCCTTGCTTGTAATTAACATTATAAAATGAAATAATGTAATTAAATTGAGCTTTGGGCTGACCCTGTTTTACTAACATTCTGCTATAGTAATATTCAGAACTATTACTTTTATTAAGTAAAGGAGAAGGAAAGATGAAGATAATTTTTTAAAAAAGTATGGTAAATAGTAAAGTAAGATGGCAATAATTAGTTCTACTAAAAGAGTAATTACAATAAATGGGAATGTGGCAAAGCATACCACTTAAGAGACAGAGACTCTCAGATTGGATTATAAAACAAGTCCAACAATATGTTGTCTATAAGAGGCATCCTTAAAACAGGAAACAGAAGAAGGCTAACCACAAAAGGATGGAAAATGATGTACCAAGCAAACATGAACCAGAAGAAAACTGGAGTAGCTGTCTCAATATCTGATAAAATAGAGTTCACATGAGGAAACCATACTAACAAACAAAGAAGGATGTTATATGCTAGTGAAAAAAGAATAACAGCACAAGAAGATACATCCATCATGAACATACACTAACAATGTAACTTCAAATGTTGTTTTATAATTGATATAACTTCAGGGAGAAATAGATAAATCAACAGTTTTAGTTTTAGATTTTAGTAAATCTCACTCAAAAACTGATACTTAAAGCAGATCAAACATAAGCAGATCAAATATATACCAAAGACCTAACTATATAATTAAGGAGCAGAGGTGGCATAGTGGATAAGGCACTTGACTGCTAACTGGAAGATCAGCGGTTCAAACCCACCAGCTGCTCCAAAGAAGGAAGATAGGACGATCTACTTCGGTAAAGATTTATACCCTCTAAAACCCAATGGGGGTCACTATAAGTCAGAAATGACTCGATGGCAGTGAATTTGGTTTTTCTGGTGAACCATGTAATTAATAAATTTGAGCTATGGCATATATTTAATACTTACACTAAATAGAATGCGCATTCTATTTGAGTATACTTGTTGTTCTTGTTGTTGTTATGTGCCGTCGAGTCAAACCCGACTCATAGCGACCCCTCCTTGCGTTTCCGAGGCAGTATCACTAAGGAAGTAGATTGCCCCATCTTCCTTCCGAGGAGTGGCTGGTGGGTTTGAACCGCCAGCCGTCTGGTTAGCAGGCAAGTGTCTTAGCCACTATACTACAAGAGCTCCCTGAGTATACTTGGAACATTAAAAAAATAAATAAAATAGAGCATATGTTAGAACACAAAAGAAACATCTATAAATAAGATTCATTTCAAATATTCTCTGTCCATAATGAAATAAAATTAGGAATTAATAGCAAAAAGTATCACTGGTAGAACCATCTAGAAAGCAATCTATATATCCCTGTAATTCTTGGATTCAACCAACCACGGATTGAAACTCAAATTGAGGGGGAAGCAATTAAGGGGTCAAAGCAAATCCCTCAAAGGCTAAGTGGGAGAGTGAAGTGTTATTTACATAGCATTTACATTGTATTAGGTATTACAAGTAATCTAGAGATGATTTAAAGTATGGGGAGGATGTACATAAGTTTTACAAATACTACACGATTTTATATAAATTTTATATTTTGGTATCCGAGGGAGTCCTGGAACCAATCTCCTGTGGATATCAAGGGATGACTGTATTCTCCTACAGGTCCATAATTTGAAGCCAAATACAAGGAATATGATTGAAGCTTTGTTTGTAATGGAAAGAATTAGAGAGAACCCAGCTGTCCATTACTGGAAAGTAGATAGGTAACCTGTGGTGGTGCACTTTATAGAGTATTCTACATCAGTTAGATGCAACATACTAAATGTACACCTACACAGAGTGGATAGATGTCAAGACATTGCATTAAGTGAACAAAAGTAATAATAATAATAATACCATTCATCCAGACAAAACAGCAATACTAATTTGCAAGAATATATACGAACAGAGGATACACATCAAACACATTACCAGAGTCGCCTGTGGGAGGATGGAATTGTTGTTGCTATGTGCCGTTGAGTCATATCCAACTCATAGCGACCACTCCTTGGGTTTCTGAGGTATCACACAGAAACCTCTATTTTTAGCTTGAAATCATCTATATTTCTATGGGGAATCTTTGGAAACATATTTTATTTTCAAATTTTATTGTGCTTTGGGTGCAAATTTGTTTTGCATTCAACAGTTCGTGCACATTTGATTTCACGCCCCAATTACCATCCCCAACCATAACAAACTCTCCTCCCCTCTGTCCCAGTGACTACCCCCTCCCTGTGCCCTTCTTAACTATGCACGCCTGTCTGTCCAGCTTTTCCTCTATGTGAATGCTGCCCCTCTGGTGTCTCATGCTGATTGCTCTAAGGAGTGCATCTCCCTAGAGTAGGTGGGTGCATTGCCCTGGGGTAGGTGTTCTGTATGTAGGTCTTTCTACTATTGGGCTGAGAGCAAGTCCTTGGGAGTGAGTCCATTTCTAGGCCTGAATGAAAACTAAGTTCTAGACGAATTCTGAATCCTAGAAGAAAACTCAAAGAGAGTTGTAAAGCACCATATTTTATATATATATATATATATAAATAAGAAAAAGATATTTGAAGTTATTAAAATGCTAAGAACATGTTAATTTTTCTACTGGGGCCTTAAAAACCTCTAGAGCTACTTGTTGTTGTTGTTGTTGTTGTTAAGTGCCGTCGAGTC